GGAAGCAAAAAAGTTAAAATTTCACCAATCATTGAAATTCTTCATTAATTTTATTTTTATTGAGAGTTATTAATACAGGAGGTCATGAGATAATAAAGAAATATTGTATAATAATGAGTAACGTTATCTTATTTTATAAGATCCATCGACTTGATGACTCATTATTAAAGAAATATATCTCTCATTATCTAGCCTATAAATAAAATGTTTAAATAGTTATTTATATCCGATAAGCGACATAGCTGTTCCATAAACATTCATCACCCACGAAAGTCTAGATTTATACAATTCAAAAACACCAGAAATATTAACAGAAAATTTAAAAAAACGCAAGAAATAAGGAGGATTCAGATGTTTGTGTATTTCAAATGAAACGAATATAACAGACATTGGGAATCGCATTTGCACTAAGACATTTCAATTTTAAAAATAAACATAAAAAAAGAGAACAAAAATTAAAGAAGGCGTAAAATTTGTCAAATAAGATTGTGAATGAAGAAAATTTAATCAAATCGAACTAGGAACTATTAAATCCAATATCTCTCAAGCAGTGGCGACAACCGCCTAGAAGAAATGGTGAATGGAATAAAATCAAATATTACATAATATAAAACAGGGATCGAGGAGGAAGCAAGGTTTGAAACGAGAGGATTAGGATGGTTCTGCAATTTGTTATGGAAGGATAGGTATCTGGATAGGGCCAAATCGGGGACATATGGAACATTAAAGTCTTTATGGATGATTTTATTAGTGACAAAGTAGGGAGCATTGAGGATTTCACGAAGGATTTTGGATTGTAAGGATTGGATACGAGAGGAATTCGATGGTTTAGTGGAGCCCCAAAGCTCAATTCCGTAAGTCCAAATAGGTCTTATTATTGTCATATATATGAGTCGTTTGTAATTGATTGAAAACTTAGAGCGTTTGTCTAGTAAGTGCTGCAGTAGTCGAAACATCGGGCGGTTTCTAGTCGTTTCAGTCTGGTATTGGGGTAAGAAAAATATAAATGGTTTTCAACAAATGGATCAAAAATAATATACATCCCTACCTGATATCACAACACTTGAGTCACAGTTGCAGCCAAATCTTATGATGATCGTGTAGAAACAACGAATTTACAAATAATCCGTAGCAACATACAACTCCATTAATAATCTTATTGTTATATAAAAATGGAACAGCTGTTGATATTATGATCGCATTTGTTTTTATTCGGTTTAACGTCGTTATGTACTTCATCTAAAGCGCAATCGAAGGTTGAAATACAACTTCTTCTAGTTATGAATTTATTTCGTATACTCCCTAAAAAATAAAGTCAATGCACTTCTCTTTTCCCCTCATAGGCTGAATTCTATTCGGCAAACCCTTTTGACTCCAGAATTCAAAGCTGCGTCCTTGATTTCGAACAAGACGTTTATCATGCACTACGTTAGGGACTTGCAACGGCGGTGTACCAAACTAAAAATTCAACATGTTGACCATTAAATAATAAAATATGCTTGATTGATAATTAACAAAAATATGCCCTGAACTTACAAAACTAATCACAGAATTCAAATCGAGATTTCAAATATTCACAAAACCGTTCTTAATTTTAACCGATAACTGTAGCTATCAAAGATTAGAATGCTGACATATGGAGAAGAAAGACCAATAAAGAACTGCTTGCAGAAACTAGTCAATCGATAGCCTATGATATGAAGGCATGGAGGTTAAGATGGACATATAGCTCGTAGCAATCCATCTGAAAGCCTTTAAATAACAATGAATGCTTCAATAAAAGACAAAAGACCACGTGTAAAGTCAAAAAGCATATGGATAGACACAACCGACAAAGAAGTAACAGAGAAACGTGCAGATAACTGGAAAGAAATAGCCAAAGATGGCAAAGATGGAGTAGGCAGAATATTTTTATATAAATAGTGTACATTGTGTTTGTCTGTTTTCATTGTAAATATTGTTTATAGTATGTGCTTTAAATGTTTGTTTTTGTAGTGGTTTGTTTATATTCTTTGATTAGTGTGTTAAAATTGTTGTAACAATAAATTCTTAGTTCTCGTAATGTACTGAGTCAAAATTATTATTTTATCTTGACACCGATAGTAGTTTATCTTTACAGATAGTTCGGACAAGTTTTTAATTTCTTTAAAAATCTATATTATATATCGCGCCTTAATCCCAATTTATATTATTGCATAATTATAATTATTCATTAATAGTCTCAATGAACTAAACGAGATCACTATTTCGTACAGATACGGAAACAGTTTGAAGTGAATTGCAAATGTCATTAATAGATTTACAAAACGGAAGTGATTTAAAAAATAAATTTAAAAACGTTGACATAAACAATGAACAAGTTCCTAAGCTCAGTGTCGCACTAATCGATGACACTGGAAGTACATCGGTCTGATGGACGATCTGTCCTTAAATTCATCAATGGAGAACATCGATCGGTTAAATCATCCCTATCTCAGAGGTTCCAACGGTTTTGTGGTATATGGAACCCTTGGATGTAACCTCATTATGAGCTCGCTGTCGTTATTTCTCAATTTATTTTATATATTTATATTGAGTTACCTTTATTACTACACTCATTTGTGTTGAAATTGAACAAGCCTTTCGGAGGAAAATAGATTGATGAATTCCTTCGACGGAATTAGCTCTGTGTTAAAGAATAAGTCGAAACTCAGCATAAATCGCTATCAATCAGTGCAGAATTCCATCGATGGAATTAGCGCTGAATTTAGAAACCCAATTTGTGTCAAAATTATACAATTTAAAAAGAAACTGATATGTGTGCTTTATACCATACGATAGAAGTATAAACATCAACAAGGCGAGATTAATAATATGAAATATAATAAACAATAGCTCATTATAAAGAGGAATTGATGTAGAGATGGTTGACCGTTGATATAATATGAGAAGGAGTTAATTGGGGGGTGTGGTCAAATAAATTTTAATAATAGGCAATAATAATAATAATAGGCAAAAATTAAATAATTACTCTATTTTAATTTAGCATTTATTTGACTGCACTCCCCAATTAACTCCTTCTCATAAAGAGGAATTGTCTGAAATGCTGAAAAATTTCCACGCTTAAAGTATACAGGTCTAATTTTTTGTTTCTGAGATATTTTAATCCACATCTTCCATAGAACTCGTTATAATTGGTTTTCGACACCATTTATTCCCATTTCCTCTGTAATGGATACATAACTTTTATGTATTTCATGTTTTTAATTTAATTTTATTATATTTTAAATATGGTATGAATGTGCCTTACAGCTTTAATACTAAGTACCCTTAAGTGTGATAAAATATATTGTGCCTCGATAAAAAGATTAATTCCAAAAAAAAATATACAATTTAGAACAATAGCACATAACAGAGAGTATGAAATGTTGAATAATTCCCTGGCTTACAATAAGCAGGCCCCATTTTTAGATTTTGATATATTTTACTCCAATTAGTCGACTGCAGCCAAATTTACCCGAGCATTACACATCATTTATCTGACTTCTCAATATAATTCACTCTCCACAAAAGAAGTGCAAAACATAACCTAAAGAATGTTTCACTTAAAAAAAAAAAAAAAACTCCTGATTAGGCACACATTCAAAACAAATAATGAAACTTATGGGAAGTAACTAAGGTATGGCTATTTCGATGGTTGGTGGAGGATGATTCATGCGCCAACGACCTTAAGGATGGATGGCCACCCCAAGGTAGCAGTTTTTCAAAGACAGATCGCAAAATGTGAGCCCATTAGAAAGATTCAAAATCAATAAGAATATGAAAAAAAATTACATAAAGCTGTAAATGTGAAACCGAAGGAAATAAAAAATAGTAAAATTCTTTGTTGTGATCTGAAGAAGAATGAGCTTTTTAATATTGCCAAAATATTTTAGCCCACCGTATTCACAATTTAATTTTATATTTTTTCCAAAATGATACGAGAACCTTAAGATTTTATATGTATCAGTATAATTTGCTGTTCAAAATTAATATAAATTGTTTATTTATCTCTTAAGATGGGTTGACAATAGAGATAACAAAGATATTAAAGTGTTTTAAAAAAAATTGTTCGAACATGTCAATGATTTTTGTTAATAACATTCTATTTGACTGCCCTTATTCGTTGAAAATACAAACATTTTACTATTAAATGGTCTATAAAGTAGGCATAAAATTGTTGTTAATAAGAAAACATTTTGTTAGAAACATGATTAAAAGCATTGATTGTCACTATTATTTGATAATTGACTAATTAAAAAAGTAGACATCAAAAGTATTAACAACAATGTTACTGGTAACATTTCAGTGTAAACTCATCTTTATATTTAATGAAGAATAAAAAGGAATTTATTTTTTATCCATGAATATATTCTTGAATATATTTAAATAATAATAATAGCATACATCATAAAATAAATAAATATTAGCTTATGTTTGTTGCAATTCATTTAAACACCTTAAGCCTTTAAAATTTCTTAAAACCTCATTAATTATTCACCAGGTAGTTTTAGGTTTAAAATTTACTATTAATACAAATTTAATAAAAGCAATAAGCTATTAATTTTTAGTGCTATAAATTAATTTTTTATTCAGTAGCTGTAAATATTTTCATGGATATTAAGTTACATTTATTCATAATAAATAGAAAAATAATAAGAAGGAAAAAGGAATTATATAACTAATATTATCTACCAAATTAAATAAGTAAGAACATAGTTAAGCAATGTATGTATCTTAAAATATAATACCAAAATTTCATTTTAAAAAATTATTATGGTAGTTTACAAAATAGATATAAAATCATCTTCACTTTTCTGTTAATCTTGATAGTTATTAAGTTTAAATAACATAATATAAAAATAAATGGAAGCTAAATCAAATAAGGCTTATTAATGAAATTTAATAAAATTACTATCGATAATTTAAACAAAACTATTGTAAGCACAATATAAAAAACATGAATACAGTATAAAGCTTACTGTGTGTGTTTGTAGTGCCAGTCAGTTCACCAATAATCTGAGAATAACTGCTCTGTGGTTGGTCCATGGAGGGGAGGGGGAGGAATCTTGGCAAGGTCAACAGGGACCTTAATGAGTGAGTAAATTGAATTTGAACCAAAAGTAGAAACAACAATGCGTAAAGCCAAAGGAAAAATGAATAATGTGTCCTTTTTTTCATTGTTGTTTCTTTTCTTTTTTTTTTTTTTAATGTGCTCTTTGTTTGCACATAATTACAGCACCAGAGATTCTTTAACAATGATCTTTGTAAACCATTTATAACCATAAATGGAATTCACATTTCATGAATATCTTCATTAATTCAATAAAACAAAGCATATTTCTAAATGGAGATTGTTCAATGATAAATATTTTATTTTCTCCTTCAGTTTTTAAAATGGTTCATAAATTTAGATTCTAATCAAGACACTGGCAAATCGGTAGGAGAAGCCCCCCAAAATGGAAAAATATTTTTTTTTCATTTTGTATAGAACTAAGTTGTATTTTTTAAATTATAATGTATGTACGGCTAATAAATATGACCATGTCTTATCAACATTTTAAAAAAAATTATCTCTAAAAATATTATTGTTCGATTAATTGTTTTAAATTTAATTTTGCTCCAAAAATTACATAACATCATTTCAAATAGATAACTTTTCTTTCTTTATCTTCCGAAGTAATTATTGTTTTATTTATATATGTATATAAGCTTTTGGGCTGCTGCCCCTCAAAATTAAATCCTGGATCCACTAATTTAAAATAATTGTATGAATATTTTATTGATGAATTACATGAAAAAGCTAATTCATTCATCTTTTTTAATATTATTGAAATAGTTTAAAATAGTTAAAATTAGGAAAATTGTTTTAATTATAATCAATACTTACCTAGTGAATGATTTGAAATAGAACTGTAAATTGAAACAGGATTATTTTAAATAATAAACAAGTAATACTTTTTCCTAAATATATTCTAAACTTATAATATGGTCAATAAATCCCATATCGGAAAAAGTTATTTTTATTTGTTTAAAAAATGAGATAAATGATTGGCTCAAATAAGTAATAATAATCAATAAAATAATTGGTGAACTTAACAAATAAATCATTAGAATATTTTAACTATTTTTTCATATTTGATTTTTTTAAAACAAGTACATTAGGAATAATTTCACAATAGGCCTATCGAACAGTGGTGCACTAATGCCACTTAAAAAAAAAAAATGAATTTAAAAAAACAACGCATACTTCTTAGTACTTGGAAAACATACCAAAACATTAATTTAAATAAAACTGCTAATTTTAAACTACCAATGATACTCTGGAGTAGCGGTAATCTAACAATAAATCAATTTGATACAAAGTTTTTTTTTTAGTATTTGTATCTCAATATAATATTACTTTTTTATACATCATAAACTTAGCAATTATATAATAAATATATTTAAGTCGTATATATGTGCATCATAAGCAAAAGGTAGGAACCTCAATTTATTCTTATGATAAACACCCCGATTTTTACCTCTTTTTAAAAATTAAAATATATTCACCACTTTTATTCCTTATTTCAACTAAAATAAAAACATTAAATAAAACTAAAAAATTAATGAAATGATCATATTAAGAGTAGAAGTTAATAAATCTGATTCTTAAAAATCTAAGAAATAGAAAAGGAAAGAAGGAGAGGACATAAACAGAAAGAGGACCTTATAAAAAACAACTACAAAATCTTACCTATTTCAATGATTTTTAAACAAATCATAAGATTTTAAGATAGATAAGAAAAGATTTTTTAGATAACAAAAGAAATATTGATTTTGAAACAGGGCAGAAAAGTCTGAAACATTTATTATGTTTCGACATATACTACCTTAAATACTTTGATAAAAATGTAAAATTTATTTCAGGCAGGGATAGTAATAAAAGAGGGACCGGTAAAATTAAGTTTGCTACACATAGCAAACACCATTGTTTTGGCCCCGATAACAAATGTTAAAAACTAGTTAAATAATTACAACTCCCAAAAAAATTTAACGTGTAAGACTTTTTATTAAACGAGTTATTTAAATAAAACTGAGAAGTTGTTTATTCATTAAAAAAGGGAGATGTAAAGTAAAATCAAAATAGTTTCGCGGACGCAATTGTATACAGCATGTTTTTTTCTTTTGGGGAAGAAACATACACTTCATTGTTCTTGTAATAGAAAACCTATAAGCGGTTGTTCATTTCTTGTTTAATAAAACCTGGGTCATGATTTTTTGTACTCAATCATAAGTTATATTTTTTTAATTTAAAGCAACACAGACGCACTATGTTTTGTGTTTGAAGTTAGAATATTTGTTTGCATCCTTTGTAAGTGTTGTGTTCAACATCAGTTTATTTCAAATTTATACTGTTTTCTATTGATTAATTATTATTAATTTTGAAATATATATATTTCTCAACTTTTTCTATTCTTTAATCACTGTACTACACATTGTCAGTAGGTTATAGAAAGCCAGGTTAGTTAGGTCTCCAGTTGTTTGTATTTAAGTTTTCGGAGGTTGTTTTTATGATTTTGCTGCTGGTATTATTATTTATTGTTCATTAATATACATTCCATCAATTGGTTAAGTTGCCACGGATGATTTGTGATTTTGTTACGTTTTCATGAGTGATATGGAACGAAAGATCAAGTTGAAAACTCTCAATGCTTATATAACATGTAAGATATGTAGAGGATACCTGGTTGATGCGACCACAGTTACAGAATGCCTCCATACCTTTTGCAAAAGCTGCATGGTGAAACATTTGGAGGACAACAATACATGTCCAACATGCCAGATAGTCATTCACCAATCTCACCCTCTTCAATACATCAGCTTTGACAGGACAATGCAAGATATCGTTTATAAACTAGTTCCTAACTTACAAGAAAATGAAATTAAAAGAGAAAGAGAGTTTTATAAATCCAGGGGTTTGCCATGCCCCAAAGATGTTATTGTGCCTACTGGAGATGCTGAAGAAGAGAAGCCGACAACTCAAGTTGAAGCAGATTTTCATCGTCTGGATGAACAAGTGAATATCGGATTGGAATGTACCGCAGACAATCTCAAGTCGCTCAAGAGAAAGTTTATTCGTTTATCATCTCAAGCAACAATTACACACCTCAAGAAATTTATCGCTAAAAAAGTTTTAGATGGTATGGAAAAGTATAGAGATATTGATATTTTGTGTAATGACGAGCTGCTCGGTAAGGATCATACTCTTAAATTTGTTTATGTTACAAGATGGAGGTTTAAAGATCCACCTCTTAGGCTTCAATATAGACCTCGTATTGAGTTATAGCGGTGGAATTTTTATGTATATTTTTTTTGTTTCCATAAGTGGCATCCCTTTCTCTGTGATTTATTATCCAAATAGTTATACTAATAAGCTGTTATCTATTTATTGAGATAGTACAAAGTATTGATATTTTGCTATATCACATAAATTTCTGTGGTAAAGACAAAATTTTATATTTTATAGACTCTTTAGTAAATACAACTTTATACCGCAAAATAAAGTTTTATATCTTTTGGATTTAAAGAGTTATTTAAATTAGTTTACATTAGATCTATTCAAAAGTGTACACTATACAGAATTAGTAAATATATTGATAAGTGTGCCTTTTTTTAATAATAATGATACTTCCACCACTATCATTCCATTTACTGTTTTGTAAATGTTTATAAAACAGCTTTATTTTCTGGCAATACAATTATACACAGCAATTATTTGTTTGCATTTATCACCCATATGTTTGTGCAATATCTAAACATTTTCTGTCATTTGTTTATTTACTTTGTCTTTTTTAATTTTATTTTTAGCGATTGATATTTTTGTTGAATATTTTTTCTTTTTAAATTATGGGATTGATAATCAGTATTTGCAGTATGTATTTGTTTTATTCAGCTTGCCAACATTATTTTATTTTTATAAATATATAAAAGAATGAGTTCTTTACACCCTTATATTTTCATACGTCATAACTTGAGAAAAAAATTAATTAATTTGTATATTATAGTATTAAATGAAACAATCCAACAGTCTTACGATGTCTCTGTTAAATTATAAATTAAAATTACTTATTATGTATAGATTGGGAATGGGGTAGCTCAGTGATAGGACACTGAGCTTCCGTTGCAATGCTCGAGGTCCCGGGTTAGAATCCTGGCTTACGGCAGACAAATTATTTGTTTTGTACCATTGACCCTGGGATCGGGAGATCCTACTGGAGCACACTCAGACTCTATAAAGTGGGTACCATTAATTAAGAGAAAAGGGTTGAGCGTGATCATGGTCAAATCACCTCCTTGCATAAATGTTGATCAAGAAACATTACTTCCTTACAAAGTACTGAACCCAAGACCCTTCATGGGTTGTAGTGGTATAGGTTTAGTCTAGGATATTGCTGTGAAGGTTGTTGGTGTCTCAACAAGTTACGATAATATATAAATAGTATTTTTTATCTTCTGTCTCACAATTTTTTTATTATATTGTAATTTTAATTTACATGTACGTTTCGGCCTTTGGCCATGCTTAGCATATCTTCTCAAATATCACAATTTTTATTTTTATTATTTTTATGAAAAATAATGTAAATTTGTTTTTTGTCGATTTCACCTTATTAATAGACAATGGTCACTCATCTAAAAAACAAACTTTATTTAATTTAAAACTAAAACTACACTTAAAATTATATAAATTATCGAAAAATTAAAAACATATTAATAATTTAAATGGATCCTACAACTTAATTCATTTAAAGGCAAGAAACACATATTTTTTTTAATTAAATTAAGTTTGAATGAGTGATCATTGTCTCTATTGACAAGGTTAAATGGGCAAAAACCTATTTAAACTGCTTATAATATATCAGATATGCTGATGATGGCCAAAGGCGGTAAAGTGCATGTAAATTAAAATTATAATATAATAAAAAAGTTGTGGGACAAAAGATCAAAAAAATCTTTTATTCTATTATCATTAGTTGCTATATAGTATAGTAGATCAACCCTGAACACAAAATGTTGATATTATAACTGTAAGAAAATCAGAGTTCGAGTTTAACAAAAGATGTTTTTATTGATAAATGATTATTTTATTTTATGTCTAAATTAAATTACATTCACAATAAATTAATTATCTAAAAAAAATGACATTAATTCCTACCTCTTTAAAAAAACAACCAGCTATTAAGAATACAATAATGCTTTATATTGCCATTAAGAATAATTTAAAGCATTAATTTATTTCTTAATTATTTAAGAATAAATAATGTTAAAATTCAAAAACCAACAATTACCTGTGTCAGCATACAGTGGATCAAAAAATTACTGGCACATTTAACTTTTTTCAGGTTTCATTGTAAAAGAATTCGAAATTGATTTGCTATAAACATTTTCATTTCATAAAAGATTTAGAAAAAAACATAATTGAGGTAAAAAAAATTTAATTTACATAATTAAAAAAATTAGCAAACGAAAAATCACTTCAACACGGTCAAAAAAGTATTGGCACACTTTAATTTAAGGTTTATTTTACGAACTAGAAATTTATTAATATTTTGTCATCATACCATTTAGTTCGTGGTACAGACCCCTTTTTATCAAATTATTAACATCCAGCTGAAACTTGGTAAATAGTTTCTTCTCAACGTAACTTACAAATATTTTATTTACGAAAAATTTTTGAATTAGGTCGTTTCAATCTTGAGGTCGTCAAACTTTGTCTATTTGTCTCGTAAATACGCATTTGCTTTCCATTTGAATCGTAAGATAATTTTAGCACAAAGTCAAGAAAAAATGTGGTCTTCAAAAATATTGAGCTGTTTGGCGTGACCTACACTCTCAAATTGTCAAAATAACGATTCTATATAGGTTAAACGAATGAATATTTTTGAAGGTCCTATGTTTTCTTGAGTTTGTCCTCAAGTTACTTTACGATTCAAGTGGAAACCAAATGGGTATTTATGAGGTTTTAGTACCTAATTAAATAGACAAAGTTTGCCAATCTCCAGATTGAAAACGCCCCAATTATGAGAATTTTCTAAAATAAAATTAGAGTGTGCTGAGACTTTTTTGACCCACTGTACATGTGCTTAAACAATTTTAAGAAACATACTTTCATTTGAAATAATGACTTTAATTTATTCTGAATGAGATTTATTTCTCAAATTATGTTTCAAATCTTAATGGTTTGATAAGAAAACAAAATTCAATTCCTATTTTTTGTTTTTCATTATCTTAGAAGCCTTTTTCTTCTACTCAAGTCGCAATATTTTTTCTTATAAATTAAATTTGATTAGTTCAGTTATGAAAATTTGCATAAAATATTTTGACATTTAGAGTCATGTTGAGTAATTCATTATTTTAACTCTATTTCTAATTAAAACAAAATAATTTAAAAGTATTTATTATGATGTTTCATTAGAATCAGCGTTATTCTTCCTCTGCTTCCTCTGCTTTTAATTCATCTTGGTATTCAGATATCACTTCCATAGGCTCTTCTGGTAGCTGTTCATGTTTGTCCTTCATAATCCATAAGTCTTTGGCTTCTTGCGGAGGGTTATAGTAAAACAATTCAAATACCAGATCATAATCATCCAACACCTCCTTTACCATTCTTCTGATTCTAAATAATGTCATTTCTGACAAGTAATATCCCTATATATCCAAATAAAATATAATTAATGCAAACATAATAAAATATTTTCATAATATCTAAAATGTTATTACAGCATTGATTGTCGTGACTATCAGTTCAGCTAGGGGCAGTTTTGAGTTTATAATAATTCGAGTTATTAATATAAAGCATCATATAGCCAAATTTCTTGAAATGAAGAACTATAAATGTTTCCTCAAAGTTAATTGCCTGAATACAGAAAGCTAAAAAAGGTTCATTAACATTTTGGCGTTCCATGTAACAGAAAAAGGAGGCATTCATAATGGATGCCATGATCAGATTTGAAACCAACGATCAGAATCAAGACGTCAAGCAACAGGCAGAGAAACAGGAAATTTATACGAAATGCATACCTTACCTGAAGGGAAAGTACAGAGATGAATTCAGCAAGAGAGAATTCTTAGTTAAAGGGCTATGGTTCGGAAACAGGGGAAGCGTTCTTCTTACCACAAGTAATTTCTTATAAAAGCTCGGTGTTGGAAGGGAACATATGCAGACCATGAGAGAAACTATTATTTTAGACTCGTTAGGAATCCTCCATCACCACTATATTGATCTAGGCCTTCACTTATTTGATTATATAAACCATTCTTGGCATATCTGATATTTTTTCCAATGGTCCGATCTAACTCTCTCTTATATTTTTTTACAGTATTATCTATTGCTTGATGAGTATGCTGTGTTATATTTAGCAACTCAGCACAGTTGAACAGCCATGCAATGTTGTATTTCTTTCTTTTGTTTAATTAGCAGTTAAGTTTTAATTTTTGTTAACAATAACAGGTATAAATGATTAGATAATAATAATGCAAAAGGAAGTAAAAATTGACAACTAATCTATTAAAACAGAAAATTATTTAACCTATACAGTGGAGGGTACCTGAATTATCTTGCAACTTCCATTAGCATCTATGCGGACTGGAAAAGAAGAATAGAGTCCCTCTGGTATGCCATAGATTCCAGGTGAACAAACCACTTCATTCGTATAGACACTCTTCTTTGCGAGAAGGACTTTTCTTATGTAGTTGATGACACCTTTTGCCTGGGCGTATCCAGTCAGCGAGTTTCTACATTTCTGCAATGTCCTATTTATAGTTATTAGGTTCGCTGTATCTCAACTACTTTTCAATGCATATGTTCTTAAATTTTAAGAATTAGAATGAAATTAAAAAAAAAAAAATGAAAACAATCCCATTTATTATAATGTAATTTAATTAATTCATTATATCTTAAATGTTAAAAACATAGATAATAAAAAATATTATCACACAATATTACAATATTTGGCAATCTTAAAGTTATCCATTCATACTATTATGAAGTCCAAAATAATAAAAATTATACAAATTGTATTAGTAGAAGTTGGTTGGGGGTGCAATTAGTTGATCTACAGTAAAGTTATTGTTATTGCAACTAATTGGTCTACAGTAAAGATATTGTTATCTTGTCTATCTTCAGCACTGATGAAGACCTGAAACTTAGGCCGAACATCGCTAGAAAATAAAATAATTTTTTTAATTTGTTTTTCACTGTGACTGCAACTGCCAACTATAAACATATATAATTTTTAAAAAGCCAATATTCTCAAATATATACATATATATTTGGCTGTTGAAATTATAAGGATGAAAAGTGGTCAGAATGTGTAGTAAAAAATTTCCTTATTTTTTTGAGTTTGATGAAGTTTCGTTCCAAACATGTGGGTCATCATCAGGGCTGAAAATCAAAAATATAAATATAAAAGTATAAGAGAAGAAAAAAGTGAAAAGTGCAAATGAGACAACGGTTATATAATTATATAAATAATAAAAACATTGCAATATGTTAAGAAAATGTTTTTGTGTTATAAATATATGAAAAATATAGGTATATTTTAATAAACCAAATAATTACTGTAAATAAATGGCAAAAAGGACCAACATTCCTCCTTGCTGGACTAAGTCCCCCACCAATATCAGTACTGTAGATAAAACTATTCGATAAATAAGAAGTTTGCAAAAACTATGGATATAAATAAAAATGAACAAATATGGAAAAAAAAACATATAGAAATAGAGATTAATAAATATATTCATTATCTCGTTTGTACGTTTCAACTATTTCATCTCTTATACTTTTATATTTATCATTTTTCTGATATATTTTTTATTTTTAGCCCTGATGATGATCCACATGTTTGGGTCGAAACGTCGGCAAACTCAAAGAAAATTTTTTTTGCATACCCTGACCATTTTTCATCCTTATTTATACTTCGAAATTGAAAAGAATTAACTAACCTAGAAAATTATTCAATTTAAGACTTTTAAGAAATACAGATAAGAGAAGTACTCTTCAAGACAAATAATGAAATGAAAGGCAATGAAGAAAGAATAGAGGTTTTTAAAAGAAAAGATCAATCAAGATTTAATTTGTTGAAAAGTTTATTTTTTATTATTAAATTTAAAGTGATTGCATTTATAATCCTATATATTTCTTTCATTAAAGAACATAATTGTAAAATGTTAATAAGGTACATTATATTTTCATTTTGGTGGATTTCTCACCTTCATTTTGATGGAATTCACAGATTATAGCTGTGTAGAGGAAAATAAAGATTATTTCTGGAAAATAAAAACTAGAAGATTGGTAAGAAAATTATTTACTCAAATAAAAAAATGATATTCCTTTAATAGGAAGGCAAAAAGTCATTATCATTAAAATTAAAATTATTTTTGCTGTTTGAAAATATTTAAACAAATATACATTATCGTATTGGGATTTATTTCAATTTTACTTATTGTAAACTTACAATAAACGTTATAATTTAATTTTTATAAAAACATCATTAATGTACAAAAAAAAATTTAAATACAGTGCAATAAGTATCATTTCCAATTAATTTTATTTTAAAATTAAATTATTGTTCATTTTAAGTATTGTATCACTGAAAAGCAACATTAAGTTTTATTCACTGAATTAGGAAAACTTTATCTTATATTAATCCATATTTATAAAGGTGGATTGTTTAAAGTGGTGGCATTTGTCAATTTAATATTTTGTATTTTATTTTAGGGTGTCAAAATAAAATGACAACATTTTCTTTTAAAGTTTAAATATTTTTTAAAAAATTGAGCATTGCTAATTTATCTTTTCTCCTTTTAAAGACTTACTGCACATAAATAATTATTTATTTCTTGAACATAATTTTGTGAAATAATAATATGGCTACTTTAATATTCAATTTATATTTTACTTTTTAGTTAAAAAAAAAAAATTAATATCCTATAGTCATACTATTAATAGAGTGAAGTATCTTCACTACTATTATCAAATTAAATGTTTTTTTTTTTGTTTTTGTTTTATAATTTTTTAAAGGTATTATATAAATTTATTAGTGAAAATAATGAACATACAGAACTGTTTCTGTTTCTGTTGCAAGAAGCTGTTTAAATTAAACAGCTTTCTGTATCTGTTTAAATTAAACAGATTCTGTGTTTTCTTCTTTTCGTCGGGATCTCTGTCTCCACCTACTAATCTGTAAAGAGAGTTGTCTTGGGTAGGTTCCTAAACTCAGCCCTGAGTTCATCGATGGCTATGTTTTGCTCTGTTTAGAGATCTATTCAATCAGGAGTCATGGGTAATATCACGGATGGATGAACAAAGTTTATTGGCTTTCGAGAGGAGAATTCTGCGGCGCATTTATGGACCTAGAATAGTCGGTCAAACATACCTCAGAAGGAGCGTGGTATGGTGGGTAGTCCTAAATAAGGCCACTCATATGCGAATGCTATGTCAAATTCAAAGAATGGACTGCATTAGCATTACTGGGGCATGCCGCACTACACCTACAAAGGCTCTGGAAATGTTAGTGTCATTGACTCCGCTACACCTATGGATAATGGGTATGGCATTTTTAAGGATGAAGGACAATAGACAGTGGAAATTAACAGGGACTTAGATTAGCACCGGCCACTTAGAAATAGCCAGGAAGGTGGAAAAAGAGTTACCTTTCTTACGGTACCTCTCCCTGCCCCTTAACAAAAACCTTACTCTAGATAGTAAGGTCAGCTACCTGTACCCTAACATAATAGATTGGGCACAGGGTTCTGTAGAGACTCAAAAGGACCTGTTTTACTGATGGTTCAAGGAAAGACCGGTGCAGGAGTCTATATAGAGAACCTAAATATAGAATTAAGCATACCACTAGGTAAACATGCTACGGTATTTCAAGCAGAGGTGTTTGCTATACTTTCTGCAGTCACCTGTTTAGAAGTTACCAATTGCGAGAATGATGGCATTACTATCTATTCGGGTAGTCGGTCAGCAGTACAAGCACTGGAGTCTCCCAAAGTGACCTCCACACTAGTACAGGAGTGCATACAGGCGGATGGATGGCGTGTCAGAAGATGCCCGGACGATCCTAGGGGGTCAGGGACTGGAGTAATGCTCTCCAACGGCGTGCAGATTGGAGGAGGCCAGGGATCAGTAATGGTCTGTTGAGTCAATGGAAGAAGAATAAGATATCTATTCGATGGCATCGATGAGCTCAGCGCTGATTTTAATAACTTGTTCCTTCCTAATGGAAGGTAATCCTTGCATCTGTTTAATCTCGAGTGAAACGGTTTACTGTATCTGTTTAATGAAAGAAACTGCTTAAATTAAAGAGATTGCTTCTAAACACTCCACCACTAATGCATAAACTATTATTAAAGCCAAACAATTCTCTAAAATTGCTCAATTTTACTCAAGAGGTCAGTAAATGTATACTTATCTTTAAAAAAATAATACATTTATAAACATATCAGTGATAAGCTGTACATATGCACCTTGGATATGGTTCCCTTCAGGAAATTTTCGTCCTTTATGACAGTCGTAACCCGTCTCCTCCAATCAGAGCACAACTTGGGAGCTGGATCTGGTTTTTTAGTGTCTTTAGGAACTTCAAATGGTCTTGAATCTAGAGGGCATTGCCAGGGTTTGGAGCTCTCCCGGAACTTGGTAGCCGACGTTTTGCCTTGCTTCAGGAAATCTTCCCAGAAGGCTCCCCGGGCATGTTCCTTAAATTCATTGTCAAAGATTGGGTAGCGTTCTTTCACCCACTCCTGCCAGTCCACAGATTCTTTATTCTGATCCATTTGCTTATTTTCCTGAAATTCCAAAGGTATGTTTATGTCTAGGTATTATCTCAATACCCACTAGGTTCCTGTGAGTGAGATACGTTTCTGCACAGGTGAATTTACGGGGGGGGGGAGGGGAGGAGGCTTTCGGGCTGAAGCCCCCCCCAAAACGGTAAACTATAACTATGTTTTATAGAAAAAAATAAATAAAGTATTGCGTAGAATATTCGGACCGAAGAAGGATGAGTTAACCGGAGAGTTCAGACGGTTACACAACGCCGAATTGCGTGAGCTGTATCCGGGTAATATAATTGAGGTAATTTCATCGCGGCGAATCAAATGGGCTTGTAAAGTTGTTGGGCTTAGTAACGAGAGAATTCTTAAAAGGTTAATATTTGCTGTGCCGAATGGTAAGCGTCCGAGGGGTAGACCGAAGCGAAGGTGGGAAGATTGCATTAAAGCCGATCTGAAGGGACTGGGTTTGGACGGCGAACGGTGGAGGGAGGTGTGTAACAAGCGATTGGTGGTGTCGGCATCGAACCTTCGGGTTCGCTAAGCCTTATTATTATAGAAAAAATATTAAAAACTATCTCTAAAAGTATTATTGTTCATGTAATTACATTTAATAGGACTTCAAGAATCACTTAAACACCATTACATCACATCTCATAGGCAGTTCATTTCTTTCTTATTTTTTTTTCAAATTAATTATCGTTATATATATGAAAAAAATCTTTCGGGCTGAAGTCCCCCTCCCCCAAAAAAAAATTAAATCCTGGACCCGCTAGTGCTTCTCTGTATTCTTCAATAAGACGACATTCATAGATGAAATTATTACTTTCACTTACCTATATACAGTAAGGGTAAGTATTGCGATCATGAAAATTTTCGAGTCTGAGTTTTCAACGAAAATATATGTTTTAAGGCCTGCTAAGTCCAAATAACCAAGTTCCGCAAAATGGCCTGTGTGTGTATGTATGTTACCAGTCTAGCTCAAAAACGAAAAGTCGTATGAAAGTGAAATTGCATATTATGGTTTTTATATGCTTTCGATGTTACAGCGACATTTTCGGCAATCCGGAAGTGGTACTTTATACAATCGATTTAACACATGTTTACGATTTTCTCAAAAACGGCTCTAACGATTTCGATTAAATTCATTATATCAGTGTAAACTTAAGCAGTTTTCAATATTACTTAAGTTTTATTTTCATTGATGTTCTCTAACAGGGCTTAAATGTCCTATTTTCAATATTAGCTTCCTCTAAAGCACCTTTATTTTTATTTATTTTTTTAAATAAAATAACCTTTTGATATTAATCTTCGATATAAAAAATAGTTAAATATAAAATATGAAAGGATTAGATAATTGACTAAAGGAGAAATAAGAGATCGTAAAGGATAATAGTTGTAACAGAGGAATCAAAGGAATACGAGCTCGCCTGAAAGATTACAACAGGCTTCCATTCATAATATGAGCTTCATATAATACGGACTCCGACAATATTATGTTCATATACAAATTCAGTTTTCATAATTGCTATTGATGGTATTATTTAATATTTAATTGTATAGATTGCATTGATATAAATATAAAAATTTTTATATATAAGGGCACTTATACAAATAAAAATACCCACAATGAAATATAAACAAATAGTGGCTATAATTTTTGCTTTCACTTCCTATCCGTCTGAAAATACTTATTTCTGCTGAGAAGAGGGTGGTAAGTGAAAGTCGTCTGATGCGTTCATCAGGTTTTTTTAATCATGATTTAAAGGAGGAATCTGAATGAGCATGTTCGAATCTTTCGGGTGCTCTCGTATTTCTTCGGTTCTTCAATTACAGCTATTCTCCGTTACGATATCCTATTTCTCCTTTAGTTAATTATCAAATTCTTTCATATGTTATATTTAACTATATTTTAAATTAGAGATTAATGTGTAATGGTCAATTGTTACAAATAAAAAAAATTAAAGGTACTTTAAAAGAAGCTAATATTGAAAATTATTTGTATATATTGTATGAATGAGAAATCTTAGCCATAATAGCCCTGTAGCCAGGGCCCAAAAATCGATCTGATTGTAGGCGAAGGTTTGATTGTAAATTACGAAAGTGTATGTTATTCTGAGTAAAAAAAACTTGTCTGCCGTTCCAGAGCCGCTGCTTTAAAAAATGGCTGTAATACTTATAGCCTTCCAGCAGTGGCTGATTGTATTATTATTCAATAAATAGATTTTAAAAATATATATATATTGAAAATTATCCATTTAAGCCCTGTTAGAGAACATCAATCAGAATAAAAACTACATTTTATTTAAAACTGCTTAATTTTATACAGATGTGATGAATTTAATCAAAATCGTTAGAGCCGTTTTCGAGAAAATCGTAAAAACGTGTTTAGTTCGTTATATAAAGTGCCACTTCCGGTTAGCCGATTTTGACGAAAAAGTTACTGTAACATCCCTAGCATTTAAAAACCTTCAATATGCAATTTCACTTTTGTACGACTTTTCGTTTTTGAGCTCGACTATTCACACACACACAGACCATTTTGCGCGGTTATTTCGAGTCTGGAGACCTTAAAATGTGTATTTCCGTTGAAAACGGAGATTCAAAAATTTTCACGATCGCAATACTTTCCTTTGCTATATATTCTGTATATATGTAAATGAAAGTAAAAACTTGTAAATAAAGAATAGAGAGAACATCGATGTTAAAGTTTTGTTGTAAACATAAAAAGATACTCACGGATTGTTCAGGAGTGACTACATTGTACATTCTGTCTTCAGTTTCTTCAGTTGTTGTAGACCGCTGTTCCTCCGTCTGCAACAACCTTAATTTTAGATGTTGATAGTACAATGATAGTAACGATAAGTTTAATTCAAACATAACTATATTATATTCTAAATTGATTGATTGAATAAGAGTATAGAATAAAGTAGAGGATAAAAACATGATAATAGACTTTTTGGAATTTTAACTGATTGAAGTTATTCAGATAATAGTTTCAAAACTTAGTCCTAACTTATTCAGTGAATCCAAAAAACGATATTCCAGCATAAATGGCATATTTCACTTTCAAAATTCAAAATTCAAAATCGAGTTGATATACATGAATATCTAATAATGTTTAGTAAAGGTTCATCTATAATCATATTTTCTTTTTTGTGATTACTTTATTATATTTTCAATACCTAGGGTTTCAACCATTAGCATTTACTAATTTGGTACCGATTTGAATTGGTTTACACTAAAAATTGAAAGTATACTTATTGTTTACATGGAATTGTTTTATATTCATTCATAAAGCCAGAATGTTCACTAATTTGTCTTGTCTATCACGAGAAAAGTCGGGTGGATTATATGCGCCCGGGAGGAAATTTTATTAGTTCCCTATCATAAACATATTTAAAATATTTTTGTTTTTCTACTAATAAAGATAAATTTTCTATTTAGCCGACAAGTTTTTTTTTTCTATTTAGCGACTAGAACTGAGGTTAGGAATAATAATTTATATTTGACGTAATCTCTATTTGTATTTGAAAGTTTAAACAAAGGTAAAAAAGAAAAAATTCGAAACGCAGATTGAAAAATCTATATCTGATAATACAGTATTACTGAATACTAGAGATATTATATATATAAATATATATATATATATATATATATATATATATATATATATATATATATATATATATATATATATACATAGGGGCTGGGGTAGCCGTGTGGGCTAAGGGGCTTGCAATAGGTAAGTTAAGCAACGCAGAGCGTGGTTAGCACTTGGATGGGTGGCCGTCCACCAGGGTAAGCCATGCTGTCCGAGAGTCCCCCTCCCCGGGTATGGGAGATCCGTCAGCCTACTGAAGGTAACTCACACCGACCGGGCGTAGGACTGATGACTCTACCCCCCCCTTCCGTGTACTTAAATCAGAAATCGGAATGACTAGGAGACCTTAACCCCCCATACCAGACTGAAACGACTAGAAGCCGCCCGACGTTTTCGACTACTGCAGCACTTACTAGACAAACGCTCTAAACTTTCAATCAATTACAAACGACTCATATATATGACAATAAAAAGGCCTATCTGAACTTACGGAATTGAGCTTTGGGGCTCCACTAAACCATCGAATTCCTCTCGTATCCAATCCTTACAATCCAAAATCCTTCGTAAAATCCTCAACGCTCCTTACTTTGTCACAAATAAAATCATCCATAAAGACCTTAATGTTCCGTATGTTTCCGATTTGGCCCAATCCAGATACCTATCCTTCCATAACAAACTGCAGAACCATCCGAATCCTCTCGTTTCAAACCTTGCTTCCTCCTCGATCCCTGATAACCCTCCGAGGCGTCTGAAAAGAAGATGGCCTCGGGACCTTCTAATATAGAAACTTGATTTGAGTTCTACTAATAAGTGGTTTCTCTTCATGCTGTACATGTCATGTTGCCAATGTCACATTTACTTGTTGTGTTTTCCATGTAATACAGTTGTAAATTTCATTAACATAAAATAAAAAATTGCATTATTACAAATGGAGAACAAAGTATATCGTCATCAGATAAATCATTTCCTCCACTGGTCTGTTTACAAAGTTTTTGATAGATTTAGATAGATATTTTTTGATAGTTATCACAAATTAGTTGTACTTTTATTTTTTTTAATCGGAAACAAACATTTGACGCAACTTGAAACAAACAGCTCACACAACAAAGAAGTGTAGAAAACCTATTAATAACCTCCTACTTTCTTTCTACATCTCGGTTTAGATTTAACATTTTACCAACGACCGAAAGTGTTGATAACAGAGCTGAGCTGTTACAGGTAGATAGAGCTCTGATAACTGAGTCTTGTTTAAAACCGTGCAAATTGTGCAACTGGCCCTTAACCAAATAATATATAATTAAATATAAATCCGTCATCTCATGAAATTTTGTTACCAATGTCACATTTACTTGTTGTATTTTCCATGTAATACTGTTGCAAATTTCATTAAAATAAAAGAAAATGAAAAAAAAAAAAAAGGTCTAGGAGACCACATCTCGCGGTAAAAGGTCTCCATGGGCTCTAGCGCCAACCTAGATAATAGATATAATAGAGATAATAAAAAAAAAAAAATATATATATATATATATATATATATATATATATATATATATATATATATATTGATCGCGAAGTCCAGGGCGAGGGCCCAGTTTATCACTAACCTGATGTGACTTCACTTCAACTTCTATCTCTTCGAATCCTCCTTCTTCTTTACTGCCGATAAGAAGAAATCTTCGGTTAATTGAGGATTATATAACAAAGTTAAGATTATATCATAATCTAAGGCTCAACTTATTATTAATGATAAAATATCCTTTTAAAAATGTTGCTTAATATATTTTATGCTATCGTTTGCAGTTTTAAAATTCTCAATTGCATGAGCTAGTCCTACCTACCAGGGTAAAAACTGTTCCCCTTCGAAGTCGGCAGCGGTGAGGTGGCTCTTGGCGTTGGCTTTGGGAACTACCAGCGGAGGGAGATCGATCTTGTCGTCGAGGTTAGGATTGAGCGGGTCCACTCCGATCACCTCGACTCCTTTCGGCAGCTCCAGCCGGGCCATCGCCTCCCTCAGCTCCTCCCTCTTCTGCAACGTCAACATCTGACCTGAGAGGGCTGTACCAATGGCATTCACTAATGAAGTGCAAATAACTTAATATTCTAAGGTATCTTAGAATCTTCGAGACGGAGACAAGGTATCTAAAGGTACTATTTCCCTGGGGCTGCTCAGCAGTCTAGGTATGACGTCGTATCTAGACTGCTCCTATCTGACCCTTCCTGAAGCAGTGGAGCTGTTGGCGGTTCTAAATTGAGGTACTATTTCGCTACAGAACTTTTACCACGACAGCGACCGCAATTCCACGCCGCCAACCGCTATTGGCATAGCTATTTCGCTGAAACTGCTCACTTGGGCTGTTATAACCTGTTATATTCGAAGATAAAAAAACGGACATCCTTTCTCTGACTACCGCTTTTTTATTTGAGAAGGAACAAGAAGAAGAGGAAATGTTGTTCATAAGAAGAAGGAACATCAGAATTTCAATGAGATGCTCATCATCCAAATCACAAAATCCCTTCTTGCTATTGTCTAGATGAACAACCAAAATAGAATAAAAAGGCGAAAAACGCCGTACCAACAACAATAGTCCCTCTGATATTAGATATTATTAGTTTGAAAAGTAATAGTAATTATTACATAATTGATTAGTAACAAATATCATATATTTGTAATTAAATTACAGCAGGCGATGTTTTATCGTTTTATCAATAGTAATCAGTAAATCTCCATTTTAATTAAAAAATACAAATCGATTTTTCAATGAGTGGATTTTAGTATTTACCTGACGATAAAATTTGTTGGATTCTTTAATTCATTTAATATCGTTTGGATTTAGTTATATTTGAATTTCGCTGTAAAATATTGTTGGTGAAATAAATAAATACATATTCGTGTTGCTTCAACCTTAAAAACATAATTTACTATTGCATTGTTTAAGTTTTAAACAATATTTCTTATAATTTTGCCATACTTGAAAGAAACATGGGAAATTAAACGTATCAAGGTAAGTGTTATCATCAAAACAATGCTGTGATGATAACATAACCTTCAACCGCCGAACCGCCCACAGCTCCACTACTTCGAGAGCGGTCAGATAGGAGCAGCTTAGATATGACGTCATACCTAGACTGCCGAGCAGCGCCAGCGAAATAGGTTCCTTTCTATTCCACTAAAGCAGTGTTCAACCACAAGGAGTCGAAGAGTACTTTAAGTGATAATAATCAGTGTATTTAAATATAAAAATGTAAACCAATTTGGTAAGAACTGACCTCCACCCATTGGCCGAGCTCTGGATCGCCATATTTGATAGTGGTGAGATCGATGAGATCAGCGTCGCATGCCGGACTCCATTGCATCCAGGCGTTATAGACCTCTACGATGTCTTCGCCGAACACCGCTACTCCTTGGATCTCATTGGAATTGCACTGCTCAAAATTATATTATTATCAAGATGTATTATGAAACGAAACCATACAATGACGTAATGTTAGGCTTAAGTGACAAGATTGCATTAGGCTAAACATGCTCCGACTGGAGTACTCTGTTATGGTGTTGGATGATGTAACGTAAATGACAATTAAAAAAAAGGCTAAAAAGATTTTGATTACCAAAATATGCGAAAGATTTTTACTACGTTTTGCTTTCTCACTATCGAAGAGAAGATTTATATTCATGCAGAAGGGCAAAAAACGTATTTGTTCTTATATTTAAAATTTCAAGAAACAAATTTGGTTCATTATCTACATAGTGTGTATGTATGTATGTATTTTCTTAGACATGCCTATATTTAAAAAAATACTTGTTCCATTTGGCTCCAAGTAAAGGGTTAGTGCAAAATAATTCTCTCTCTCTGTCTCAATACAATTGCACCCATTACTTTCTATTAAGGTAAAAACTCCAGTTATCGCCATCCACTACAGTTATTGAAGAAGTTTGCTTAAGGGTGCCAAAACTGGGGTCCACTTACGTTCCTTAGTATGCTTATTTTCAGAAGTTCATTCCGGATCAAACATTCGATCTGGTCTTAAATTGGTGGAAAGTTAAGGATAGGTGAAAAGATGATCAAGCAGGTATAAATTTAATCAAATTCCATTCCAAAAAAATACTTACAAAAGAGGCACGCAAATTCATTTTCCATGAAACGCCTATATTTCAAAAATGACTAGTTCGATATGACCCAAAATTCATGAAATTTATTTTGCAATGTAAATTAATATATTTAATTTAAAAGAATAAATTACAGTAAATTTTGGCAGGTGATGAACATAAGAATAGGGATTCACACTGCATTACAGTACAATAATATTTTCTTTATCTGGAGTGTTCTTTGTAAACAAGGTTAACCTCTCAGTGTTTATGAATAAAAGCTAAATCTCATAAAGGATACAACTTCATAAGTTTCATAAGCTCCACTTTGATGGGCCAGGATCTGATGATTACACTATAAATGAGAATTCCAAAATTCGAGGATAGAAACGTGTTTATGTTATCGGTACTGGTACTTGCGGGAGAAACTAGTACGACAAGGACGTTATGCCAACCCCTGACGGCTACCCAGAGGTTGCCGCAGGGTACGTACCAGAGTGATCAAGATTCATGTTAGCAGCCGCCGAGCAATGTGAATTAACCGATTCAGATGGAAATCGTACCATACAATTGTAGTAGAATGATATCCTTATAAATCAATAATTATTTTTTACATTAGTATACGATGTGATATGGTAATACTGACCTCTACTTTGTGGGAGATGAGGCTGGCGGCTGCTCGCTCGACGGTCCTCGTGATCGCGTGGACCTGCGAGAGCGGAAGCTTGTTCAAGAAGAGGGCCAGGATGAGCCGGAAAGGAACCATGCATCTGATCCCGATGAGGAGAATCTGCACGCTCGGGATGCAGTGTTCGCAGATCTGCTCTGCCTTCAAATGTACAATATCGAATCAAAAATATCGATTGGTACCAGAGGGACCACTGTACAAGTGTCACGCCAATTTAGCGAGTGAGCCAAAATCTCATAATCATGATGTAAATGTTATTTTAAAAAATAACCGAAGATTGACAACGCATTCACAGAATAACTTTTCTTTATTTAGATCACGATTTCCCAAAGCTGTTTTTTTTTTCAGTTAAATTTAGGATGCGAATTAGCTTTAATTACTTCGTTGCTGACGCCTCCAGTTCGCTACGCTCGCTTTAAAGGGATAAACAAATCCCCAGCTGGTCCTTTTCAGTTGAGAGCCATACCAAACTAATCGGTCACATTCGTCTATTTTCGGAAACACTCGACCATTCTTGGAATTTATTTTTAGGTCTGATTATGAGATCTTGTGCCACCAATCATTGTGACACGTGTACAGTATGCAATTACGATGTGTTAAACAATATTACACATGTTTATATTATCTATTACCAATCACTAATTTACTAAATTGATGCTTAATAGAAGTGCAAAGCGCAGCAACAGCACTTCCCATGTATTGCGGATCCCAAGCTTTTATTCTCGTGAAGGAGACAAGAGAAATTACGCATTATGGAAAAAACATCTGGTGTGGCCACCCAAATGAATTTTCTAACAGCTTTGTGTGCAAAATCCAATACAATTATCATCTTATCTATTCGTCATCATCATCCGGGGCGCTACATTCCTGTAGAGCCAAGTCCTCCTGGAGGTTGGTCCCCCAGGCTTCTTTATTGGTTATCGCTGCTCTCCAATTGCGGATTTCTAAGATGGCATCCACTGCCACTAAATGATCCATGAGCCGAGATCTTCCCACCCTTCATGTCCCATAAATCTTTTCGTCAAGGACCATTCTAGAAATCTGATCCTGGATTATTTTAATTAAACGACCTGCCCATCGAAGTCGGCCTACTTTAATCACCCTTACGATATCTGAGATCTTGTTAGCTCAGTATTCATCTTTATCATCCAGATTCCATTGGCGCAAACTGGGCCATAAATTGTTCTCAAAATTCTTCCAAAGAGCATTCCAAATTTCTTTTCTTGGAACTACAAAACGCTGACTTCAGATCAAGAAACGCAAGATACAGATTTTTATCTCTGTCCCAAGCTTTTTCAGCAATATTTCTGAGAACAAAAATGTGATCCTGCGTCTGTCGGCCTGGACGAAAACCAGCCTGTTCCGCTTCTAACTGCCCTTCCACAATCCGTCGGAGTCTCCTTTCTAGTATGGAAGTATAAAGTTTATAGACCACTGATAGCAGACTAATGGGTCTATAATTTTTGCAATCTGTCGTGCATCCTTTTTTTATAAATCGGGGGGATTATGCAATATTCCCAGTCCATGGGAATTTTCTTTCTGTCATATACTTCTTGGAACAGCGATTGTAGTGCTTTAAGAAGTTCTTGACCACCGAATTTTAAATATTCTGGTGCAATTCCATCCCTTCCTGATGCCTTACCTCTTTTTAGCTTATGGATTGCATTTTCTATTTCTTCTTCCTCTATAACCTCCAGGCTTTCTTCAATATTGGGCTCTTGTTCTTGATAATGGTCTGTTTCTGGATTTTCGGAGAATTGTTTCTGGAAATATTCCTTCCATCTGCCAAGGATCTTTTCCTTGTCTGTAATTAGGATTCCATCGCTACCTTTTCCATTTCTAATAGGCTTGCATTGTTTTCCTCTTAACATCTTAACTTTTCGCCAAAATGTTGTTATAGATTCGCGATGATCCTCGCTCAGCCTTTTACCAAACTCCTCCCACGACTTCTTCGCCTGGCGTATGGCTACCTTACATTCATTCCTGGCTATTCGATATAAGTGTAGCTTTCCTTCAGTTCTATCCATAAGGTATGCTTTCCAGGCTAGCTTCTTCCGAGAAACCAGTCGTTGGAGATCATTGGTCCACCAGTCTGTCCGCTTTACCTTACCAGACACTCTCTTCTTCCCACAAACTGTATTTGCATCTTACCTATTGCCTCTTTATAAATATCGGTATGATTTCGAATTTATTGCTATTGTATATTTATTTTTGGGGAGCGGGGTAGCTCAGTGGTAGGGCACTGAGCTTCCAATGCAAAGGTCCCGAGTTCAAACCCAGGCTCATGGCAGAAAATTTATTTATCTGTTTCATTGGCCGTGGGGCGACCTTGGGTCAGGAGTCCCTCCTGGGGCACACCCAGCCTCTATAAAGTGGGTACCCTTTATGTACCCTTAATTAAATAATTAATTAGGGGGGAAAACCTGACGGTTGAGCGTGAAGGAGGTGACTCCTTGCACAACCGTGGACCTAGAAACAGTGCTTTCCCTAAATAGTGCTGAACCCCAGACCCTTTATGGGTTGTAGTGGTACAGTTTTTTTTTTTTTTTTTTTTTTTTGTATATTTATTTTTCACAAATCATTATTACATTAAATTTAGGATTTAATTACGTTTCAAATAAACATAGGGGTAGCTTAGTGCGTGAGGCATCGACTATGACAGATAATTATTTATTCTAGAACATCATACGTGGATTACCTTTGGGATCGAGAGATCCTCTTGCCTAGATTCGTATCTAGGGTGGGGCATATAGAGCACATGCCTTGGGCACCATACAATGGGAGTCGAAAGTATTAAATTTAAAATTTTAGCTAATCCAATGATAAAACTTACATTCAAATTAACTCGCGATAACTGTGTGGGTGCCGTAGTACTTAGTAAAACTCTCTAGGAAGTTATGTATATCCACGCCATATCCTACAAAATGTAGACAAACGAGATCGTAAAAGACCCGCAAAAAGATCAAAATTTTGATATTGCTTTTTGGTCGATTGGGATGATTTTCCTTTTACAATGCTTTCCATTTATTGCATCCTGAAATTCGATTTAATATCGATTCCCGGGTTTCGTCAATGAGCGACTGGAATGACTAGTGCGCCATTCAAAGACTGCTCACAATTGCATATTTGAGGGCTACGATAGGTAAAGCAAGATGCGATTTAGCTGTGTATAATACTGATATAGAAATAATCGAGACGTTTGTGTCACAGAAGGTCAGGGAGGTTTAATAGTAAATGTAACGGTTTTACTGAATTAATTTCGTTATAAAATAGAAAATAAATATATACTGTATGATTTATCACTGTTATGTTTAGTTTGCCTATTTTATTAAATTAAGATTATTTACAAAGTTCCGCAAATTGGCGTTCTCGATCGCTACGTTCTTGCTCCTGGGACACACCCATCCTCTATAAAATTATATTATAACAGATAAGATATCTTTTATGAACAATAATCACTCACCAAAGTTTTAAAGAATGGAAAATTGTCTATGATGATTTGCTCCCGTGTGAGCTCTTTATCCCATTTGATGTTTGGATGGATTATGACATACTCCGATTTTTTTAGGGCTCTTTTAGGATCCGATGTCAAAATGAAATCTGTAGCCAAAATCAGATTTAGAACTAAATATCCTAAATTTTCAATATAATATGATGATTAGTTTATTAAATAATACTTATTTAACTTATTAACAATAATAAAAATAATGATTATCACTACTCAAGACTTGAGAGAACTAAGCTCAAAGCCATAGGCCACTGAAAAAAATAATACAAATACGCAGGATATTATAACTACAAATCAGACAAGGCCATTTGTTATTCCTTCACATGGCCATAGCAGAAGGTTAACTTTATTGAAAAAGCATAGTCTGAGAATGTTCCTAAACTCAGAGCTGATCATATCGATGGAATCCATCAGTAGACTTAATCCAGTAGCGATGTGCAGCTATTTACGCATCAAGTTTTGCCTGGTTTTTCTACCTTACTACACGTCCCTCAATTACTCATCATAATTTTTGAATTCGAAATATGAGATCAATGAGTTATAGAGAACCAGCCTTTCGCGAATGTCTGATACTAATCGCAAACAACTGGCACGCGATTTGTATATCAGTTTGCACTATAAGTCTTTATGATTCTTGACTTTGAACGCTCTTAGTATAGTATTCTGATCTCTCAAATACCCAGTAACCATTACCTCTTATGAAGGACAGTTGTAGGTATTCTGAGATACACCTCCCATACCTGGAATCAAAACCTCTATCGCATTAACAGAAGAGCAGGAAGAAGCGCTCAGCTGCGAGTCACCAAACCGAATCTGAATGTATCTCATGAATGAGACGATGCGAGAATAAAAGGGAAGGCTTATAAGCATATAAAAGAGAAGGCTTCCGAGATGTTGGGAATCCTCAGTATGAGAATAGCCGGAAACTTGAAGGAATGAAAAGCTGGATGCAAAGGCAAAGTGGAACCGACGGTGGGTAACAATCGCAAAAGGGAGAAAGTAATGTTATCTTGAGAAAGTACTTCCTCATCGTTCAGTTACTTTTGGATCCTCTTGGATCACTGGATCTCGCAATTCTTCAAAGGATCTGTGTGCTTTCGAGGCAACTGAGCACATTATTGTTAAATTGCTAATAAAAACCGGCCTCTATGTCCTTATCGAGAACAATTTACTTCAGCTAGTCACAGAAGGAAACTAACCTTACTATACAGAGTTTGTGAGTGGAACAAAACAGTTGGTCAAGCATATTTCAACTTTGCAGGAATATGACCCGCTAGAATAGAAGAAACCTGAATCATTTGTATGCATATATTGTATGCACAGCTTATTGTAAACAGTTATTCGTTTTTCCTACAGGATTGAGATGTTAGAAACATCCCAATACTGTAAACGCCTATATTGAATAAAAGGTATGGAAGGCACATTAAACAAATAAAGTCTTTATTATACTTAAAAATGTCGCACATGCAGAAAGATACACAACTTACTTTACTAACATTAACCATTTTAATTATTGGATTCTTGGATTGGAAGACGCAAAGAACATCCAATCCTCATCATGGCAAACTAAGGTGATTTACCAGTGTTTTTGGAGAAATACAGGTTTTTTTTTTGTTGTTTTTTATGTCTACCATTTGTTATAACAAGCAAATAAGATGTGCCTCTTCCATTCTGGCTGTTCGATATGTTTAATAATTGAATTGTTTTTTATACGTAACATCAAAGAAAGGTAAACCAGATATCCAGATGCTGACGTAGGCGAACTCGGCCTTCTCGAGGTTATCCTTGGAATCGAAGAGGTAGACCCTGACGAGGCTGCGATCGCCGTAGAGCTGCCCGGAGTACAGCTCGTAAAGAAGACCCATCAAGAACTCGTTGTCCTCGCTACCGCCAACGATGGTCACTGCCTTGTTCTGGTAGTCCACCATTTGGGTCTAAGCAACGACATTTATGTTAGATTGGTGATTTTTGGAAGATAAAAATACTTCTTTGTTCTATTACCTGCGTTACAAGAAAACATGATTTTCTTAATTAGTAATAATATTAACATTATAATGGGTCTATTCCAACAAGCAGTCCTAAACTGTTTTCGCATCGGCAGTACAGCTTTGTTGGCCTTGTTAGGGCTCAGTCATACGCATACAAAAACAGTCCAGGTCAGCTTATTGGAACAGACCAGCTTGTTTGTTATGTCTAACAATGGGTAACAACAAATGGGTTTTACTTTGGGAATATATGTTTATTTGAAAGATGTAGTTTCACTCATTCTTTTAGTAAACATTATTGTACACTGAATCAATGTCTATGCATCCAATCACTTTTCACGGACTTTTACAAACCCCTTACAAGAAATTAAACATTCGAAATTAAAGCAGACAACTTCTTGCTCAAGCGATAAAAAAAATAACCAACAGATTCTTTACCTATGAAGACGAATTGATACAAATCACGGTTATCAGCCATTATATATGACAAAAAATAGCAGATAAGTTTAGTCATAGTCTAGGAACTAGTAGCGCTACCGTGTGCAGGAACAGAAACAATTCTGATCAGTCATAACTCGTGTTTCTAAAATTAAAAACATATTACCTCTTTGTCTTTGAAAAACGGGTTCTCCTCTTTCCTTAGACGTTTCAGCTCTTTGATGACCGTCTTTTGGGCCATCTTATCGTTAGTTTGGAGTTATTTGAATCGATTTACAAGAGAATAACCTAGAGTAAATTGGTTTGCTAACATATGTTTTAAACTGAGTCAATTTATAAATTATTTTCCTTCACGAACATTTTTATGTTCATTTGTTGAAAACTTCCTCTAAAGGTTTTGAGAAGTTCGTGATTTATTCCGTAGTCTGCCGCGAAGTAAAAAGTCGACTCTCCCAGATCGGGTTTGAACGGCCTCTGATCATTGGTGCCGAATTATGAAAATTATTGGGGGGATAAAGGCAAATTATAAGACCAAGGAATCGGAAGATCTGGAAGGAGGATATCTTTTTGAATATATCCTGTATGCAATATATAATATATCTCTATGTAAAAAAATACCATTTCAAGTAGGTACAGTATTTTAATAGATGGTTCCCTTTCCATTTTAGGTGAATTTATGAATCCAAAATAGGACACCGTCAAACAAATTCTAATATACTTGATAAGAGATGGATACAGTCCTTTGTCAAGGTCAGTAAAACTACCAGGTTCGCTCACTCAGAGGGAAAATGGCGGCGAGGAATTGAGCTGTGACGTAGCCAAAATACTAAGTTTACCCCTCCGGCCTTAGTTTCTGGACATTTTAAGATTATTGTTTACTTTTCTACATTATATCAATACTGTATTGCCAAATAACTTATTAATTTATTAATTTTAATAAATTTGAAAGGTGAGAGAAAGGTTGATTTGATATTTTATTCTAGGTTGTTTGTCGTATTTATTGATTTACCTGCTTAAAATTATCTTCAATTAAACGTTGAAAATATTCTTTTCAATAAATTACCCCAGTAAAACTAAAAAAAGACACATTAATATTGAAATAAACCTCCAATGATAGGCTTGAAAGAACAATAGGAAGGTTAGGTAGTCTAGTGGCTACGTCACAATGCAAGTTCCCCCACCACGCATTTCTGAGTGAGCGAACCTGGTAGTTTTACTGACCTTGGTCCTTTGTAATGGAATTGCAATGTACAAGATGTTCATGAAGTTTATGCTATAGCAATTTGTTGAGGAGAGAGAGAGAGAGTGTCTGTGAGAGAGAAGGGGGAGGAGAGGGGGTTAGGCCCCCTAGTAGTCGGAGCCTATGCTTCTGCTTTGAGAATTCTGAGGCACAGCTCCCATTTTTATGTAAATACAACATTATTACAACATAAAAGAGAAAGAAATTCATTAACTTCATTAGGTTATAAAAAAATATCCAACTACACAGCCATAAAGATAAACACAAACTAACCCATCAACATTTGTAACATGTAATAAGCTTTGGGTTAGTAGTAAAAGAAAATTTCTTGATTTCTTCTTTTTATTTCTTTAATTGGAAAGTTTTAGGTTATACTAATGAGATTAGCAAATGTGACTTATATATACTTTATTTGTGATATAGCATTACTTGACGTTTCGGGATGTATTTTCAGTAACTTTATAATCAAGTAAACAATGTATATGTCGTCGATACCATGTTAAAGTGAAGTAACGGATTCGAAACGTTGGGTAGTTTAACATTCGTTACTTTGACATGGCTTCGACGATATATTTAATTCTTAAATGGTAGAGACAGGCGTTTAATAGGGTCTGCCACCCGGGACTGCTGTACAAAATCTGTACATGCCTACTACCTACATGATTCCTCATTATCATAGCTTACTGATAGATGCTTTAAAGTAAATCACAAAAACTCTAATTCATCCCTTTTTTCCCTGTCTGCTGGTCTTCCTCAAGGTAGTATCGTTGGTCCTATCCTTTATAGAGCTTATACAGCTGAAATCCCAACCCATCCTGACACTGTCATCGCAGATGACAAAGGTATCCTATCTGTTAATAATGATCCAAACTCTTCATCCCAAACTGTTCAATCACATATAACAAACCATGAAGAATGGTATAAAAACTGCAGAATTGAAATAAATCCCATCAAATTACCTTTACCCTGCGTCGCCACCAGGTCCTTTAACAATTCCCCACTTATCCCAGTTCAACTATATCAGATTCCACCTGGACAAATGACTCACATGGAATCCTCATACAAGACTGAAACGACAAGAAACCGCTCCACGTTTCCGACAACTCCAACACTTATTAGACAAACGCTCTAAGCTTTCAATCAATTACAAACGACTCATATATATGACAATAATAGACCTATTTGGACTTACGGAATTGAGCTTTGGGGCTCCACAAATCCATCGAATTCCTCTCGCATCCAATCCTTACAATCCAAAATCATTCGTAAAATCCTTAACGCTCCTTACTTTGTCACAAATAAAATCATCCATAACTTAATGTTCCATATGTTTCCAATTTGGTCCAATCCAGATACCTATCCTTGCCATAAAAAAACACTGCAGAACCATCCGAACCCTCTCGTTTCAACCCTTGCTTCCTCCTCGATCCCTGATAACCCTCTGAGGCATCTGAAAATAAGGTGGCCTCGTGATCTTGTGTAAATTTATTATTCGAGTGCTACCAGTTGGTAGTTTCTCAACAAGAGATTTCATGTTATTATACTCCTGAGTGCACATTTACCAGTTGTATTTTTTTTATTTTTTTTTTTATAATACAGTTGTAAATATTAATAAAAATAAATAAATAAAAAATTGGTAGAGAAAAGTCTGACAAACCTCTATTTGACACATAAAGTATATATGTCACAAAGGAAGTTATGTTTGCCCACGACATGATTATTAGATCTTTTTAATCTCACTATATTCTGAATGAATAATCACTGGATTTCAACGACGAAGAACGTCTAGATGATCAAAATCACATAATAACAGATGTACGTACACATGCAATTTTTATAATTGTACTTCCGTTTTATTGTTTTTAAGAAGACGAGAGCAATAAAATCTCTTGGAAATGTGCCATCGATCTTGAAGTTCTCCTTGTACAATAAATACAATATAGAGCGAGTAAACAGTAGCTTTCCTGTCCTTCTTTACCATTCTTTCATGGATGCCGAATTTCCAAGTGAATGATAACTTGGAAACAGATGTCCTTTTTTAAGAGCGTGTCTTGGGAGATTTCAGATACTCAGCAAAGATGTCTTTTGATGACGTGAGTATTCTTCAACGTATCCTCCGCCTTAACGCCGGTAGAATTGTAGGTTGATGTTTCAGGCCATGCTGAGGATCACTGATTCGCAGAGATTCATGATGCGGGAGAGGTTTCACCAGAGCTCTTCTTGACTTTCTGCTCTATAGAGATTCTTTAAAGTATAAGTTGAAATACCCGTAAATAAATATGAGGCTTTCCGCAATAAGCTAGTCTTGGAACGAAAAAAGGGCATAGATCCTTTGTTCCCCAATAGTAGAGTTCTGAAAACAGCTTTGCGTATCATTATGGACTGCACAAGTTTTGAGGCACTGAGAGCCAATCTGAAGAATTACGATGTCTCAGAGAAAGATTATTGTGTAAGTGTGAAAATTCGCAGTTGTTCCAATCCATTTTACCTTAAAAAGCGTTAATCTTCCTGGACTATCGTCGAAAGAGACGAAGAAGAAGACAGAGCAGTTTGTAGAAGACATGATTTTAAAGATGTAAAATTGTGAAACGAAAATAAAAATGATGGGTTGGTTTTCATTGGCTATATTTGTATGCCCAAATGTATGGTGATACCCTTGTTGCCGAAATGAAACGAGGGGGTGATTAAATTGAATTTTTACCCTATTATTTGTATTAATAAATAACATATTAGAATTAAATTCTCGTTTTCATTTGTCAGCATAAAGTATTTCTTTAACCCATTCATGATGGATGATTCATAAGAATCTGTTGATAAAGGGTTAAAAAAAAGAAGATAAAGCAAAATAAAGGAGGGAAATGGTCTGGAGTTGCGGTCATAAATAGATTAAAATAATGGAAAAACTATTTCATTTCAAGCCAACGTTTCGACCCGACTTTGCAGGTCTTATTCAGTTTTAACTTTTAACTCCTTGCTGAACATACTTCCCTGAAGAAGACCTGCAAAGTCGAATCGAAACTATGGCTAGAAATAAAATAGTTTTTCCACTATTTTATTCTATATATGACCGCCACCCAAGACCATCGGTTTCCCCTAAAGTACACAACGCTCACTATTAAGTACTGGATTAAGCAAAATATTTATTTAAAAGTAGGTCTAATAGATATATTTGGTATTAAATTATTGTTAAACGATGAACAAAACTTATTTCTAAGAAACTTAATATCTACATTATTTTATTGAAATAACACATTAAATCGATGAAACTGTTTGTATATTAAATAGCTCTAGAGATCATTAAACATATTTGGATCCTTATCTCAAATCTTATCCATTTATTTACTAAATGTAGTACTATTGTGAACAATATTTAAGGAGTAATGAATTTAAGTCGCAACTCAACCTTAGAAATAAAAACTCATTAAGTATATAACCTAATTCTGAATTATCTGAATACATTCAAATAATGAATATTATTTCACAAACTATAATGTTGGAGATAAAAATGAAAAACGATAAAATTTTATTTTATTTGAACATCACAAAAAATATCAATAGAATGTGGTCAATAATAATAACATCAAGTAGATGTTTTAGACGCGATACCTCATACCTGCAAAATGATTACATTACAGTAAGGAAGACATTTTTTTTCTTCTTCACATACAAATATGTCTCACTATTGTAGTGTATTTTTATCTGATTTCATTACAGGATATTTGCTCTTTGGGCAGTGAGATATTACTTCTTAATGAAATTTTGTAAACTCTCTTACCAGTTTATTATATAAACTTCTCCTCCTAGTTCCTCTGTTTTCACCTTCTCAGTATAATACAGGAGTGCCCAATAGGAGATGGTATAGTTGAACTTGGGTATTCAGAACGTTTTAGGAAGGCATATTATTACGGAGCTATGAATTTTCGAGAGGGCATACTTTGACGGAGACATGAGTTTTTAGAGAGAAACAGGTCTTTTTGTGGGTGTAAATAGGGAGGAACTTTCAAACCAGGAAGCAAAGGATTAAACATAGAACATTGGTGGCCGAGCTTGTTAAAGCATTAACTTCCACATTCTCGAATCCAACCTGGATGGATTGAAATTTATTCCATAAGCGACCCACGAAATGAATCTCGACCTTCCAACTTTGGTTAAAACAAGTTTAGTATTTCCTCTAGAAGAGCCTTCCATTATGTCAGAAATAGCTCAATAAGGAAGTAATCAGAAGAAAAGAACAGATCACAGCATATGAATGTATAGAAACTACAATTTTAAAAATTGTACTTCCATTTAACTGTTTTGATGAATATGAGACCAACAAAATCTCTTGAAAGGAAAGGCATGCGCCACAGACCTTATGGGAATGGGATGAGCCCCCCTGGTACAATAAATACAATATAGAGCGTGCACATGTTGATCATGCTTACCTCTAGTCACAATAGTAAATATTGTACCTGTAATATATTTCATAGGTATTCTTTAATAAATAATAAAACAATGATAGATGGTACAGAAGCGTGACTAGAATAGGAAATCTATTGGCTGTATAATCAGACGTTAGGGATTGGAAGTATCGATTGTGTCGGTGTTACGAGAAGAATCGAGTTGGACATATCTTTTATCTTGGCTGAGAAATATGGCAGAAGCTTGGGCTTCAGCAGCTCGAATAATTCGAAGGAGTTCTCGTTCAGGAACATATTGAGAGTCTCTCCTGCAACAATTATATAATTTAAGACCAATAGGATTGATCAATCTTAGTTATACTTGTTTTTTTTCAAGCAATTAGTCAATTAGTCAATCAGTTTGTAATACCTAAGGCGTTGTTGCCATCAAGCTGTCGTCCAGTCTGGATATCTATTGTGGAAGGCATCGTGTCCAACTTCAGTTCTCTGATCTTAAGGTGTTTACCGGACCGATCCAGATGGAGTATTACAAGAGAAGTCAATTCGCCTGTAAAAGAACGATAGTAAATAATAAACTAAAATAACGATTTTCAGAGCCGTAATTGTGGAGCATTTCCTTAGATTTGTAAAAAGACTAAATAAAGGTTTTTCTTGGAGGACCGTGCGTTCATAATATTCAAGTGAGATAATTTTATGTATGAAATTAAAATAAGACTGATGTAAAGTTAATAGTCAAAATACAGAAACACAGATATTACTTACAATTTGAAGACTGACAGTTTAACATGTTGTCCACAAAAAGCAATGAAACGACGCGTAAAAATTTATAAAATATGTACATATTATGTATTTATAGTAAAAAAGAAGTAGCATTGCCTAAAAGTAAAATCTTGATAGCATAAAACAAACGAAAGAAAATAACTGTAAGTGATCACAATGAATGAATTACATATAAGCAAGATTAAAGGCATGAAAAAGGCAAATACTGGAATAAAAAGTAAAAACAAATCTTTTTTATTTCCTCTACCTGGCCATTTCTGGCATATGAGGTTCTCAGAAGCAGTGGAGTAGAGAGCATGAGTTATTTACATGTCACTGCTACTTATTGAAGTACTTTTGTATGTTATTGTTCGACTTTTGCTGACGATACCGCAATCCTCAGTTCAGATAAAAATCCTATTCGAGCATCCACCACTCTTCAAAACCACTTGAAAGATATTGCTGATTGGGCCACAAGGTGGAAAATTAAAATGAATGAAAAAAAAAGTGTGTACGTAGTATTCACTCTTAATCATACCCCTTCCCCCGAAATAAATTTTAATAACATTGAAATTCATGCATCCGATGTAATTAAATATTTGGGTTTTTACCTCGACAAAAGACTAACTTGGAGGTAAACACATTAATCAAAAACGTATGGAATTAAATAGACGATACGGTATTTTATCTAGGTTACTTGACAGACGTTCAAAATTATCTTTTACTAACACTCTATAAAGTTTTACTAAAACCAATTTGGACTTATGGCATAGAACTGTCGGGTTCTGCTAAAACTTCTAATATTAAAAAAATCCAGTCTTTCCAATCCAAAATTTTACGAAGAATAGTCGACGCGCCATTTTATAGCGCAAACGATAGATTACATAAAGACTTGAACATCCCAACAATTTTAGACACTGCAAAAGAAAACTATAATAACATTCACCAAAGACTAATTTACAACATAAATCCTCTGACAGAAAACCTGAAACTCATTAGAAACCCGTACAGCCCACCTCGAAGATTACGTAGGTGGTGGCAAAGAGACCTGCTGAACTGAACTATTTCCTGGATTGTGATGGGACGCTGTAAAGCTGTCAAAAAAATTGCTCATTGCAAAGAAATTTGTAGATCGCAAATTTAATTTTTATGTCCAATTTTATGTTATGTATTAATAATAATAATTATGTTAATGTTCGAGTTTATATGCTAAAATCGAGTTTATTAATGTTAAGGATTAAGGATAACGCAATGTGGTGAATAAAAAATAATACTGATCGGAAAATATATTAACTATAATAATCGACTGTAAATATATCGATTGTACGCCAAAGAGAACTAACCTAGGGTGATGTTGAAGATGCCGTGGCTTTGGACGGGGAAGGTGGATACATAACCATCGCTCCAGTAACTTCCGGTCCCACTCAACCAATCAGTTTTGCACATCAGCTCCAGCTTTCCCTCTTCCAGGTTCTTCCACCTATAATCCAGCAGCCATTTAATAGAAAGATTTACAAGTGTTATTTGGTGGGCAACAAAAGATATTCTCTGAATCGGATAGTGTTTAGTAACTAATATTAAATAGATTACTGACTTGGATAGACAATAGTGTTTAGTAGCTAATATTAAATAGATTACTGACTTGACCTGGCGTAGGACAGTAGAAGAGAGTCCGGAAACTACCACATCCTTGAGGACGAGGCTGATATCGGAAGAGGAGGCTTCGTTGAAGTAGTCGGTTTCGACGCTTCCCACCAGGAGCGGGTCGATGCTTCCCTTCTCTTTCCATTCTGTCATCAAATATTAATTATTTTATTATATTATAATTATAATTATTATAAATATCAGTTAGCGAAACATAATATTCCACCTTAGTTTATAATTGGAAAAATTCCAACAACACAGCCTTATTGCTCCAAAATGGAGGAAAATTCAGGTATCATCATGACAGAAGAGAGCAGCAAATCGAATACCACTCCATGACAACCAGTCGCAAACTCTGACGTAAGAATATGAAAATGAGTGTTAAGGTTAGAATTTATCTAATTATGAATTCAAATTTATATTCCGTCTCTTGGTCATTTTTTTTTTTCTGATTTGTATTAATAATATTCAACATAACATATTTTTTTTTTAATATTGCAATCTGTCTCAATAAAGGACATTTATAATAGAGTTCAGAGAACAAATTCAAACCATATTTATAAATTCAAAAAATAAATAAGGTAATATAAAAATAATATGCAGCGAAATAAGAACAAAATAAAATATCATAGTGAAGGAAGAAAATGTAAATAATAGTAAAAATAGAATAAAAATAAATGAATAAAATAGAATTAAAATATTATTTAAAAAAAAGTAATAAAAATAAACATCTTAGACGCATGCATACCTATTTACAGTCGGCCATGGGAACTCCGAGCCATACTTATTCCCCCACATGTGGAGGGAAAGCGAGGCTTCAGGAGATCCCTGCGCTTCTTCCTCAACCACTTCACTGGTATTAAAAGCCAGCGGAAATTGAGTAAGGGCGCTACAACCACGGAGACTCATGACTTGAATGGAGAATCCGATCATTGCCAGAACTCACATATATTATATCTTACACGGTTATAAAGGTCACAGGGCCACTGCCGTTTTAACCTAGTAGGAGGATTGTAGGTAGTGTTGTCCAAAATCGGTCTTGGTCTTGCACTTCGCAAGACCAAGACCAAGGCCGCCTAACTGTCGCAAGAACAAGACCAGGACAGGTAAACAAAATCGATTTTTTAAATAAAAATTAAGGCAGAATAGTTATTAATACTTGATAATCTTAGTTACTAAATGTTAATAATTGGTATAACCAATATACTTTTGCATTCAACTCAATTAATTATTCATTCGAGCTTAGTAAGGTTTCTCCTATCTAAAAAAATACAGTAATATCTCTACAGCAATAAGCTAATAAGTAACTGCATGACTGGTGAGAGACTCTTGCGAGTCTTGGTCTTGCAAACTCAGTCTTGGTCATGGTCTTGGTCTTGCGCAAGAGTCTTCCAACAGTCTTGCAGTTAATTATTAGCTTATTACTATAGAGATATTAATGTAATTTTTTAGATAGGAGAAACCTAATTAAGCCCGAATGAAAAATTAGAGGAGTTAACTACAAAAATATTTTGGATATGCCAATTATTAACATACAGTAACTAAAATTGTCAAGTATTAGTAACTATTTTGGCTTAATTTTTAATTTAAAAAATCGATTTTTTTGTTACCAGTCCTGATCTTGGTCTTGCAATAGTTAGGCGGCCTTGATCTTGGTCAAAACTAGTTTGTATCGACTTTATTTATTTTAGAAAGAAAAACAAAAGCGGAGAGTACGATTTGCAAATCCCCAGTGAAATTCTGAATCCAACGGTACCCCATTCATGGTATTTTAGTATGCGAGGAACTTATATTTTGTACAAAATAGATTTTTAGCCTCAATGTAATAATACGAGGTGGGGATAATATGAGCACTCATAAATTATCTATATAAAGAAAACGAAAGAAAACAGGATTGCCAGCTGTTCGTCTACATTTCTACTGATCACCTGTGCATGGTCACGTAAACAAGTTATTCAACCTTTATTTTTGTTTTTATATAGATTCTATTTTTAATATTAATAATATATTTGTTTTATAGTATCATTATTTTTAATCAGAGTACCTTATTTTCGTTTATTAGCAGTTCTTATTTCATTTCATTATCAATCGAATGTAAATTTTTTCTCTTAATTATTTGTTGTTATGGAAAAAAATAAATGCTTAGTTCAGGTTTTGTTTTGTCATATATAATACAGCCCATTATTTTTCTTATATTTGGCATTAACTGGAGAGGATGGCATGCCACAGAGCACACCCTAACTTGGAAAGCCTCAAACAATCACAAAGCAATGTTCTCGGAGATTAAATGCCTGTGTCAAGGCAAAAGGGAGGCATTTTTCTTTTCTTTTATGTTTTTCTCTCTATTGTATACATTTTATTTTCTAACAAACTTTTTGAAAAAATTAATTTTCCTGTTGAAATCTGTATATATTTCCTTGTAACAATATTTATGACAAGACTAGGTAATTCTTCTTTTTTTTTTCGCATGTGTTATATTATCTAATATAATAGCTTCGTTTTAAGTTTTCACGTAAAACTTGGAGGAAACTTAATTAGTGTTAATTCTTCAACTTTGTGCAGTGTTGTTAAAACTTTTCAAAATCTGAGCTCCACTAGAAAATATAAAATCTGATTTTTCGAAATCTGAATTCGACTAAGGACGTCATGATTATTACCATAAATGATTATTAAACAATTTGCTGACCTCACAGATCTCTTTACTAGGTCGCCTTTTCAATACCTCATTTCCTCATTTTTTTTAAATTATCTAATCAAAATAGGAAAGATCATTTGAAAAAAATATATAAATAATAAATTGTATCCAGTTATTTCTTATTTAGAATTTTTTTTTTTCATATAGGAAGTCTGTTAAACCTTTATAATTAAACAAACCTTGAGAATAAGGAAAACAGCAGTAAAAAAGGTTTTTAGAATTGGTAAAATATAATATTCAGTTTCACAAAATAAATACATAATATGTATCATCTTCCCCAGAAAAATGTAATTTATTTATCTTAAGCTGTTTTAAATAAATCAATATTTGATTGTCTATTTTATTTAATGTTTCTTTAATTCAGTTGCTTTAGTAATAGGGTTATTCTAATTACATATTTTCTCCATATCTGTCAAATAGGGGATGAGAATGTTAATTGTATATTTTAGCATTTCATGTTGAAGTTAAAAGAGCTACAAATTTATTTTTATCAGAAGATATTTACCTTATGTTGAAACATAAAAAAAATAAAATAAAAATAATATAAGAAAAGGAAATTATTATGTAAAGATGCTATATCCAAAACAAATAAAACTAATAAAATAAAGTATAAAACTGTATACAATGGTAAAACATTATAAATGTGCACTTTAAAAGAAAGAAAAAACAAAATAAAATAAATTAAATTCTTAGTTCTGAATTAGATATTAAGTTCTGAGTTCTCACTAAGAAAAAAGCCGAATCTGTTCATATAAAATGTCCAAGTTTGTAATAATAATATTAACAAGACTTAGCGAACCCGAATGTTCGATACCGATACCACCAATCGATGTCCACATTTTTTCATCCACGAAACTTCGTCTAAACCCAACCCCGCCAAATCAAGCTTAACGCAATCTTCCCACCTTCGCTTTGGTCTACCCATCGGACGCTTTTCAGTCGGTACAGCGCATATTAACTTTTTAGGAATTCCTTCGTTACTAAGCTCAATTATTATGCGCATTTTATTCGTCTCAATTTAATCATCTAAATTATATTAACTGGATACAGCTCACGGAATTCAGCGTTGTGTAACCGCCTGACTCGTCCTTTATCGGTCCGAATATTCTGCGCAATACTTTATTTTCAAAAACCTTAAGACGTTGCTCATTTCTTAATGTAAGCGGCCACGTTTCGCATCCATAAAGAACAGTAGGAAAGACTATGGTTTTGTAAATTCTAATTTTTAAGTTTCGGGACAGGAAGAGAGAACTATATAGTTTTGGCAATGAAAAATAAGAAGCATTTCGATCCTTCAGCCTAACCTTAATATTCTCTTCAATTTCGTTTTTCCTAGTTATCGTAGACCCTAGCTACTTAAAATTTTGTACATGTTAAAATTCTAGTTCTTTCCAGGCTTTCATCAACGTTGTTGTATTTAGTTTTCCATGTCTTCACTTAACAGTACCAAATGCTAATAAATATGTAAATAGATCTAAATAATATAAAATACAATTACATAATAATGTGCAAATACATCATGAGAAGAGGGTGATCATTTGTTAACATAACTATACGTAAGAATTTGATTATATATAAAAGAAATTAGTAATAATAGATGCATTGAGTGGCATCGAAAGTATGAAATTCTTATAATATCCCTAGCAAAGAAAATCACTATCATTTGATGATAAATTACATGAAATAAATTTATAGTATCAAAAGGTCTGCAGATATCTGACTGTTTTGGGACAGAAATTGGAATAGAAGGGTTTTAAATGTGGATACGGAGGGGAATTTTGACAGGAAGGGAATTCCAGAAATTGACACAGCGAGCAAAAAGGAGTTTTGAAATGAGGTAGATCAAGAAGAGATATACAGGTCAGGAGAATTAATTTTTACATTTGGCTTAAAACGTCTCAGTAACTAAGAATCGGACTTGCATACTGAAATTGAGGGAAACGTTTATCATTTCATTCTATTTGTAATGAACTATTATTCAAATTTGTATCTTGACGCAGCGCTGTGTTAGAAAGAGAAAAGGGTAAAAGTAAAAAAACCTATGATTTTTTTTTCAACATTTAAATTAAAATATCTCAAAATTTAACAACCATGGAGAATTCAGAAATCATTTTGCAGAAGTTATTATATATATATTTTTTAATTAGTCGTAAAAATTAGAAATTTAGTGTTTCTATTCGATTTTCTGTTGATGTTTTTCGAAATGTTATTATTTTGTGAATATAGAGCTAGAAAAAAATATTTATAATCCATATTATTAATTTTATCGTATGACCTTAAGTAAACGCCATAGTTTTTTGTTTTTATAACTTTTATTAAAGTTATTGGAGAAATTCCAGGATCGTAATTGGTATTCGTCAATATTCTTTAGTTAACGAATCGGAGGCAGTGAAGACAGTATAAGTAATGCTTTTATTCATTATGTTATAAATGGCATCTAAAATACAGAAT